TTTTCTCTGTCTCTCTAGAAAGTGCACATGCCCTCTGGTGTTTAAAACAAAAGTGAATTAGTAAATCAATGGGTGTAAACAAACATATTTTAAACTTATTTTATTCAAGATAGCACGTGCATGAGAGAGAAAAGAGCATCTCGGACTGGGGTCTGTCTCACTACGATCCCCTTCCCTGGCCCTCATGCCTGCCAGGCCTTTGGGAATATGCACATCTGGGCATGCTCAAGACAGCCTGGAACTGAACCTGTAATTGGTCGGTATTTTGATTCTGTTTGCTATCAGCAGAGCCATATCAGAGGATGTTACTGTTTTATTTTTGTTGTTGTTGTTGTTTTGGAGAAGTTTTTCGCTATAGGGCGTGTGCGCTCGCCAGACAGGCAGAGAGAGACATAGAGACAGAAAGCGAGAAATCACCCTCCAGGGGGGATGGTCACACCGCAATCCCTTCTCCTCCATTCTCCTCTCGGGATCTTGGGCACGCACGCACACGCGCCCAACGTGAGTTTTAAGCCACCAGGTCCGGGACACGAACCACGGTCGACTACGTGGGAGTCCAGCGACATAACCATTAACGCTAACTGCTGGTTCCCAGGATGTTAGTGTTTTTAAGGCAGTTCTTATTACATGCTGCCTAAGAGCCGTCTAGGAAGAATTGTGCGGCTTATGCTGACCATCAGATTGGTCAGTTGCTACTCTTATATGGTGGTTTAATTATGTAAGACTATGTGAGTTTTTCCAGTGCAGGGTTTTTTTACTGTTTTTATTTTATAATTTCAAATTATCCATTATTAAGTACCTGATTGCATTCCAGAACTTCGGTGGGCTGTAGGTATCCAGAGGTCAGCCAGGAGCTCCAGCTTCAGGGGTCCATGGACCTCTGAATTAAACTTTCTTTTGTGTGAATGTGGATGGGAGGGGGCAAGGGAGATATCATTTCATCAGGTTCTCAAAGGGGTATGAGGCCCAGGGACACTTAAGAACACTCTGAATAAAATAATTCTGGGGAGGAGATAACAGATATTCTCTCTGTTTTATAGGTGAGGGACCTGAGACTCACTGCTTTTATTCACACAGCTAGTAAGTAGTTGAGCTCAGGGTAAAACTCATGTTTCTGTCCGCTTCTCTATAAATTTGTCTGCAGTGACTTCCTGGGAGTCTTTGCCAAGTGCTGCTAAGTTTGAGGTAGAGTAGCTCTGATTTCCTGGCTTAGTAATGTTAGAGGAAGTCAGCAAATTATGACATGACGTGTTCTTAGAAAACTCGACTAATCATCGCGGTCTTTTCTCGGGCTCTTCTTGCCTGTGCTTCTGAAGGTGTATAGATGCATAGTTTTCTGAATCTACCTAACCTTGCTTTCTGTTTGAAAAATCATGTTAAGGGACCAGCAGTTAGCGTAATGGCTATGTCACTGGACTCCCACGTAGTCGACTGTGGTTTGCATCCCGGACTCAGTGTCTTAAACTCAAACCTGGTGCGTGTGTGTGCGTGCCCAAGATCCCGAGAGGAGAATGGAGGAGAAGGGATTGCGGCGTGGCCATCCCCTCTGGGGGGGTGATTTCTCGCTTTCTGTCTCTCTGTCTGTCTCTGTCTGTCTGGTGAGCGCACACGCCCTATAGCAAAAACCTCTCCAAAAAAAAAAAAGAAAAATCATGTTAAAATTTGCCACTTAAAATTGGATTTTATTTTTCTCTCAATAATAAGTATTTGGTGACATCTTAATTGCATTGTCTTCAGATTACATAGCTACGTGCTTCATCTGAGAGAGAAATACCCTATTATAATGTTTTTCATGAGCAAGGACTTGTGGATGCATGTGAGAGAGAAAAGCACCTCGACAGGTTCTCATCACGCTTGGATCCCCTGCCCCCGGCCCTGCAGCTCCTCAGGATCTTGAGCACATGTGTACCCAGTGTGTGTTCCAGTTGGCTGTGATCGGACCCTCACGGTCAGCCACGTGGCTCCCAGCCTTGCAGTTCGGCGCACTGCTGTCTGTGCCGCCCAGCCTGGGCCCATTGTCCTTTCAAAGCAGGGGTTTGTGGTGACAGAGTCTTCAGCGTTTTCCTAGTTATGTAGAATGCCGAATAATGATGCCACATATTCCTACACATTGCGTTAGTGATGTTCATGGCAGCTTCCCCTGACAGAAGTGCTGTCTCAGTTGCACAGCTAGGCTTTTCGGTTATTTATGCTGTTTGCATTTTCCTACATGCAGGAAAAGGGAATTTCATGAAAGTATGATCCAGCAGCACCCTTTTTACACCCAGTAGTAATGATAGGTTTTTCCTTTTACCTTTGCTTATTTTCTGGAGTATGCATCCATGGAAGATACTCTTCAACTCTGAGACCTTTTGTCAATCCTGCTCAAAATTGCATTTGTTTACGTTGTATTTTTATCCTTCTACACACACACACACACACACCATTAATACACAGATGCACATACATGTGTATACTCTAATATACCTTGTGATGTCCCTTGGCAAATAAACAGATAATTCATGCCCTTAAACTTTGTTTACAGGTTCGTAGCGTTCAGTGCTTACTATACAAGATAGTGAAGCAAGCATAAGTGGGCTTTGGAAACGTGTGTTCAATTACGGACATCGTTTTTAAGCCCTAGTTGTGTTTTTTGGTTTGTTCATTTGTTTTTAGGTTTTCTTTTCTTTTTTTTTTTTAAAGAACTATTTACTTATTTATTTAATTCCATTTGTTATTATTATTTTTAAATTTGACCAAGAAACGGAGAGAGAAAGGGAAAGCAGGAAAGCAAGCCAGTGGGACTCAAACCACTCAAACCACTGTCAGCCATGTGGGAATCCAGCGCCTTTAACCACCACACCACCTGCCAGCCCCTGTTTTTAGGTTTTTGCCTTAGGGTTTGTGTGCTCAACAGAGCAGGGGAGTTTGATATCACCCTCCTCCCCCCCAGTGGGAATGGCCAGACCACATTTCCTTCTCCTCCATTCTCCTCTCGGGATTTTGGGCGCGCACACACAAGCACCTGGTGTGATTTTCAAGCCCTGGGGTCTGGGTCTCTAACTGTGGTTGGCCAGATGGGACCCAGTGCCTTAAGCACCATACCACCGACTGGCCCTCCCGGTGGGTTTTTAAGGCTGAGGTGCAGGTAAAAAGTGCGGGGGCCCTGGATGGAGCACACGGGAAACACAGTGCCCTGTGTGACTGACCAGGGAAGGTGCTGGGTCCACATGGGGCATCTCCTTACTGCTGCCAGGCACGTGCATGCCCATGATTCAGGGCTGGCAGAAACGTGGGGTGGAGCACGGTGGAAAGACCCTTTGGGTGCCTGTCACTCACTCTTGGCTGGCTCGTTCTCTTGACTCCACAGTTAAATTCTTGATTTAGCTGTAATTTATATTTCAGAAGTTCAGTAATGTTTCTTTGGGAAAAGTCCATCTCAGCTTTAATATAACCAATATTGTAGCATAAGAAAACTTACACTTTTTGTATAAGTTTTTTGTCCTTAAGATCAGTTTACATATATATATATATATATTTCTTTTTTCTAATTGCTTAGGTAATATGCCAAAGCAATTTTGATTCTTCTGATTGATATCTGGAGTTTTGCGCAAGTTTTTGGGTTTTGTTTTGTTCTGTTAGAAACATAAGCCCATTTTCAAAATACTACCTCTAAAAGGTGGAGACTAAACAGATTTTGATGGGAGTATTTTTGAAAGCATTCAGGAGCAGAAATGACTCATCCTTAAAACTGACTCTTGGGTAATTTATAAACAGAGACGGCTGCGGGATTGAGGTTGCCTTTTTTCTTACTAACGGTGGATGTTCATTGGGATTCCTTATGCAGTCTGTGGCCTCTTAGTGACTTGAAATTCCAAGAATGTTAAAATGAGTGTTTATCTTAAAGATCTTATAGCTAGAAATAATTTCTAATTAGAATAATATTCTTTAGTTTTTGTGTATATTAAATGAAAATTTTATGGAGACCAGCAGGTGGCATGGTGGTTAAGGTGCTGGACACTCCCAAATGGCTGACCGTGGTTTGAGTCCCGGACCTGGTGGCTTGCTTTCTCACTTCCCCTCTTTCTCTCTCTCTCTGTGTCTCTCTCCATCAAATTAGAGATAAATAAATGAATAAATAAAATTTAATAAATCTTTATTTTTTTAAAAATGAAAATTTTATGTGTTTTACACTTTATTTTTGTTTCAAAAATGAATTTATTCATTTTAATGTTACTTTGTAAATGTTCTTGTATGATTTTCTTTGTATGGGGGACAATTTCTTTACTTACATAATCTTTGAAAATAGAGGTGATTAAAATTCAGTATAATAAAATTGTAAAGATTCAAAAGAAGAAACAAATACTCTACTGAACCCTATATTTTTATCACCCAGATTCAACTGTTTTGAATAGATTTTTTTTTTTTTAATTTGCCAGAGGTCATGTGTACTTGCCAGAGAGAGACAGAGGAAAAGCACCTGCACTGGGGCGTGTTCACACCACAGTCCTCTTCTCATTTCTCCCTCCTGTCGGGATTTGGTCAAGTGTGCACACACGCCCGCAGTGTTCCTCAAGACTCCAGGTCCAGGACTTGAACTGTATGGTTGGCTCTGGGGGATCCAGGTGCCTTAGCCCTAGGGCACTGGCTAACGGGAACCAGCAGTTGGCGTAATGGCTATGTCGCTGGACTCCCACGTAGTCGACCGCGGTTCGTGTCCCGGACCCGGTGGCTTAAAACTCACGCCGGGCGCGTGTGTGTGCGTGCCCAAGATTCCGAGAGGAGAATGGAGGAGAAGGGATTGTGGCGTGACCATCCCCCCTGGGGGGTGATTTCTCACTTTCTGTCTCTCTGTCTGTCTCTGTCTGTCTGGCGAGCGCACGCGCCCTACAGTGAAACTCTCTCAAAAAAAAAAAAAAAAAGATATTTTAACTTCAGTAAATAGTGGCTTTTTACTTGGGTTATTTTCCTGTAACTGTAATAGACCAGTGGGCTCAAGTTGCAATTTTTATTTTATGCAGATGATGTGATGCCAGCCACTTATTGTGAAATTGACTTAGATAAAGAAAAAAGAGACGCATTTGTATATGCTATCAAAAATCACTACTGGTACCAGATGTACATAGATGACTTGCCAATATGGGGTAAGTATTGTCTTTTCTATTTAAGGTTAGGGAATCTTTGCAGGATTTATGTAATGTCTCTGTTAAGGTGATTTATACTGGATCGTGTGTAAATGTGTCTTCACTATTTTCTGCAGAAGAATTTTAATAATTTTATGATCTCCTGTTACTTGAAGTTTTGACATTGCCACACCTCACTTGAAACTCTCTCAAAATAGAACTTTATATCGAGTACAGCTTTTCATATTCAAGGAATTAAAAGGTGGTTGGGACAGTCTAAAATGTACTTTCTGCCCCCTGTTTCTCATTTCTTATTTTAACTTATTCTTTTAAGTACAATTAAAAGAAAGACTAAATAGGATTTTGAAATTTAATTCTTCTGCCTGATACTGTGCTGGTATGGTTTTTAGGTGTGATAGTTTCTTGAGTGGCTTTTGTGTGTGTGTGTGTTAACTAACTCCTGTGTTCCTAGTTCCAAACTTTATTTTTACAAAGTTTATGTTGTGACTTTGGCTCGTCTGTGTTAGTGGGGAAAGCTGTGGCACAGTTAGTACAAACTTAGCATAATGCAGGACCCGCTTCTGTGGGAGTGAAGTGCAGAGCTAGTCAGCCTTCTCAGCAGCATGTTATCACACTTGCCTCTCAGGGACTTTTCTGTTTTTGTCTCTGGACATCTACTGTTACATGTAATTAATATTTCTTAAAATTGTTAGCAGAGCAGCAATTAATATTTCTTAAAATTGTTATCATGAGCAGCAAACTAAGAAAGACTGAACAGAGCAGATCAGGGTTTAATATTGTACGGAGGTGAGCTTTATGAGCAAGTTTATCTGGAGAGCTAATTGATGCGTCACCGTTCCTGTCCTGCGTTAATTCGGTGTGCTTAGTAAGCATGTCGTAAAGATGCCTGTGATAACGTTACAGTAACACGGACTTTACACGATCTGCTCGTTTATCCGGTCAGGTGGGTCCTCAGCCCTCTGTCTGGCTCCTCCTCTTCCAGTATTCCACATCACGAACAAAATGATCACTTAAAATAGTTGCCTATTACCTTTCATCTTCAGTACTCCTTTCGCTTTGATGACCTCCCAGTAATTGGGGTAAAAAGAGAGGAGGCATTTGAAGTTTTTAGGATTTATTGTTATATATGTGTGGGCCTTACTACGATTGGCCAGATTGTTGGTTATTTGAGAAAGTACTGGATAGGTTTGTGGAAATTTGGGGTTTAATTTTGGTTTGATCACTAGTAACTGGGTAATGGATGGTGGTATTAGACTATCCCAAAATTTGAGCATGTTAGGAATATGCACAAATAAAGTGGTAATTGTTACACTGAAGGTGAAACCAACAACAGAGCATGAACTTTGAGAATCAGATTGATGATCAGTTGTGTCGATCTGTTCACCACATCGTCACATGGTCTGTTTGCTAAGTAGTTAACGTGCAACCAGTGCTTTGCTCTAACCAGGAGAAATAAGGGTATTTGCCTATTTTATACAAAAATAACTTTTAATGACCTTTCAGCTTCTAGGGTACTTTAAATATTAAATGGTATTACCTTATATAAAGTATTTTTTTCTTTTGTAGGTATTGTTGGTGAAGCAGATGAAAATGGAGAAGATTACTATCTTTGGACATATAAAAAGCTTGAAATAGGTTTTAATGGAAATCGAATTGTCGATGTTAATCTAACTAGTGAAGGAAAGGTGAAACTGGTTCCGAATACTAAAATCCAGATGTCATATTCAGTAAGTATGAAAATAATTGTGTGCAGATAGAACAATTAAATGTATTTTCAGGCTTTAGAAAATGAAAATGGAGTTCTAAATGGATACAATAGAATATATTAATTAAACGGTCTCAGTGAGCCCCTCAGGCACGGAGGAGATCTGCTTCAGGTCTGTCGTGTTGCTAACAGCTTGGCATTTGCAGGACCTACCATTTGCTATGACACTATTTACCATTGAAACTATGCAGTCAGACAGAACAGCCATGAATTTCCATGGTTGCGTTTTAGACTGCAGTTGTTCTTCATGTCGCTTCCCTTCCCTTTTTAGTATTACAGAGAGAAACGATGCTCTATTGAAAGTTGCTGGCTAGATCTAGTTTACCATGGTTTTCTTTATCGGTTGGAATGACGTACTCCTGCAGAGTAAGAGCTCTCAGCCCTGTAGCAACTGAGAGTTAATTTTATTCTGGTAGACTTAAAAAATAGTTGGAGGGGCCAGCAGGTGGTTTGATAGTTAAGGGTGCTGGACTCCTACATGGCTGACCGCAGTTCGAGTCCCACACCTGGCGGCTTGCATTCTGGTGGCTTGCATTCTCACTTTCTCTCTCTCTCTCACTCTGTCCCTCTCTAGTCAAATTTAAATAAAGTTAAATAAAATAATTCTTTTAAAAAAAAGTGGAAAGAAGAGAGAAATCTAACATAGATGGTTTCTCTCTTTGCTAGTTATTTTCCTCATAACAGGAATGAGTCCATCATTAGTAGCTAATTGTGAAAGTTTTTCAAGCTTAGTGCATATGTACCTAGTGCAAGAAATATTTCTATAACTGAATTTACAAAGAAATTGATGTAATAGTTATCATAAAAAGTAATGTGGCGGGATCAGCAGTTAGCGTAATGTCTATGTTGCTGGACTCCCATGTAGTCAACCGCGGTTTGAGTCCCGGACCCGGTGGCTTAAACTCACGCCGGGCACATGTGCGTGCGTGCCCAAGATCCCAAGAAAAGAATGGAGGAGAAGGGACTGTGGCATGGGGATCTCCCCTGGGGGGTGATTTCTCACATTCTGTCTCTCTCTGTCTCTCTGGCGAGTGCATGCACCCTATTGCAAAAAAACCCTCCAAAAAAAAGTAATGTGGGACCAGCAGTTGGCGTAATGGCTATGTCACTGGACTCCCATGTAGTCTACCATGGTTCGAGTCCCAGTCCCAGTGGTTTAAACTCACGCTGGGCACGTGTGTGTGCGTGCCCAAGATCCTGAGAGGAGAATAGAGAAGAGATTGTGGTGTGACCATCCCCCCTGGGGGGTGATTTCTTGCTTTCTGTCTCTGTCTTTCTGGCAAGCGCACGCGCCCTCTATAGCAAAAACCTCTCCAAAAATTTAAAAAAAAAAAAAAAAGTAATGCAATCTAAAAATAAAGGTGAAGAGGTTTTTATTTTCTTTTGAACACTGGTGATAGGAGCTTGTATTCATTCAGTTCTTATCATGCTTACCGAGTTAGAGTTACTAATCAACAAGAGTAAATCATTGTTGAGAACTGAAATAATCCCCCTAAGGAAAGTTGTTTTATTAATACACAGAGTATAAAGGTTAGTTTTATCATACTTATTTCAACTTCTCAAATTGTCCATTAATTTATCACCATTTCTTAGTTCATTTTAATCCTCAGTGTGTAAATGTTTCTAGATTTTCCTCATAGTTTTGTCATCAGACTACTAATTTGTTCACTAGCAAAGTTTTTTTAATGAAAAATATTATTTTTTCAGGTGAAATGGAAAAAGTCCGATGTAAAATTTGAAGATCGATTTGACAAGTACCTTGATCCATCCTTTTTTCAACACAGGGTAGGTAAATGGGTTGTGTTTTAAGACACTGGAAGCGTGTGCCAGTCAGTGTTAGACAATCGAGCGTCTGTCTGCCATGCGCAAGGCACCGTCCTGAGGACTCGACGTCAGGATTAGCTAATCACTATTTCAGCTGGAGTCATAATGGTGTCAGGGAATTTAAGAGGCACTTCCTTTTTGATGCCTGTGTTTTAAACCAGTTAAGAGGTACACAGTGAAGAATATAACACGTGGAGAGCCACAGTGTCACTTCCATTACTAGTGAGGCTAATATTGGAGAAAGACATCTGTGGTCCGGTGGCCTTGTTCCTGAAACTCAGAGTTGGACAGGCTTGACTACTGCAAGCTTCCTTCGTGGGCACCTGCTTTTGTGAGAGCTGATGAGTGGAGAGGTAGAAAGGAGCGTGTGCGTCCTCTGGAAGGAAGGAATCAGAGTGTGGAGCCAGGTTTCGGGGGAGTTTTTTCTAGTGCAAATCCTTCTGCATAGAAAGAAACACCAAGTGTGGGAAGAAATGCCTCCCAGCTCCCCACCCTCGAGCAGCAGATATAAACCGGATTGGTGCTGGTTTTATGCGGGTAGTTTGGATTTCTTATAAGAAAAAATTGGCTTTATTTTGGTGGTGGTCTCTCTTTCAGGGATAGAGATAAAAAGACATTGGAGTGTGTTCTTCCAGAACTTCTTCTTTGTTTTGATCTCTTCTTTTGGACTGGAATTCCAAAGTTTATTAACCACCTTTTTTTTGAGATAACCCATAAGTTTTTGTGGTCTCAGATTTATTTAGGTCATTGCTGTGAGGTTCCACCCTTAGACTCCACCAGACCTTCCAACTTCTGGCCTTCCTCAGGGTCCTAGGATTAAAAAACCTCTTTGAGATTTAGTCTTTATTGAAGGATTTAGCTCACTGTTCCTGGAGCTAAAGTGTCTTCCTGTGTCGTGCCTTCCCTCACACCTCTCTGTTCTTCTCAGGTATGCTCAGGCAGTCCCGAATAGGGTAGCCCCCTTAAAGGTGTGGGCACGGACAGCTTCCCAAGTTTTAGATAACGTTTGAGAAAATGAGGGCTTTCAACCGACACTCCTTCCAGAACACGTAGGTCTTCCTTGTTTCTAGTTCCACTGGGTGTTGATAAGCTGGGGAAGACTGCCTTTTAGCATCTTCACTGTTTTAACATATATTAATTGAGCACCTGCTGCGTGCCAAGCACTGTAATCAGGAGGAAGAGTTCATCAGAAAATACAAGGCAAGGGCCAGGTGATGATGCAGCAGTGAAATGTGCTGCTGTGTGGGACTGATCCACAGAGGAAGTTCCAGGTTTGGGCCCAGACACCTCCCTGAGTATCCCGGGTGCCGGTGCACGATCCAGGTGCAGGACATGTTAGTGTGGGCTGTCTGTAAGAAGTACAGATGGGAACTAAGATATCTGGGCCAGAAATACAAATTGTTCCTAATTGGCGCATAGAGGATATTTAAAGCTATGAGATCGGGCATGGTTATCGAGGAGGAGAAAGAGGACCAAAGCTGTAGGTACAGTGGTCACAGTGTCGGGAGAACTGGAGAAACCAGCTAAGGGCTGGTTGAGGAAAGAACAAGAGTGCGTGGTGTTCTGGAAGCCACAGAACAAAGTGTACCGTGGAAGATAGTTTAGTTCTGAATTATTACTAGTGGGTCAAGCCAGGTAACTGCTGGAAAGTGACTGACTGTTGGGTTCATCTGAAGTCATTGGGGAACCTTACCAAGTGGTTTTGGAGCTGGGCAGAATCTGATCTGAGCTGCTGAGAGAGAACGGGAGAGACAGCAAGCGTGAGCCTGTGCGGGGTCGGAGAGAGCAGAGGGAAGTGCAGTAACCAGTAGGGCAGGACGTTTTTTAGGAGCTGATGATGAAGGAAAGTGGGGAGAGTACCCTGGTGTTTTCCGTACAGGAGCGGGTGGGATCTACTGTTGATGAGTGTAGGGTTGTTTCTAAAACCATGAGGGAAAACGTAGGCAGAAGAGCTGGGACCGAATGCAGATTCGGGTTTGCCACTTACTCTGACTGGTGACTCACTTCTGCAGCTCTGTTTCCTTAGTAGTGAAGCGAGGATTGCAGTAACTGGCAAGCTTGTTGGGAACTTTCATTTTGATCATGTGTATCAAGCACCTAATTTGGTGTTTGGCATATAGCAGGGACTCGGTTAGAGGCAGCAGGCTGGTCTGGCTGTGTCTTGTGGGGTGTGTTCTGAAACTTAGAGGAACCAAGGGCGCTTCTGAATTACCAACACTAGGGGGTGCTGGAGTGCAGAAGTTAGGAGGGTTAGTACCCCTTTGTGATAGCGGTTTCTTTATTATTTTTAAGAAATATTTTCTCTGGTATAATTTCAAAATTGTGTATTTCATAATCTTTAGAATACAGGTATATAGCAAAGTATAAGAGTATTAATAGTTTATCATATATTTAAGTTGGCATACTCACAGGTCTGGGACAGGGCTGGTTGAAGCTGGTTTGAATTAAGCAATAAAGACTTGTAGGAGATGCCTGTCCCCTTATCTCTTTCTCTCTCTCTGTCTCTCTCACTGGAGAAATAAAGAAAGAAAGATACTTTTATGATGGACTTAAATTTATATAACCTTTTTGGATAAGCATCTCAAAATACTGCTTTTTGTATGATTTCAGTAGCTGCTCAGTAAATGAATTTGAATGAAGGAAGGAATGCTCTTATGAAAGGGCAGAGGCTACTGACTGTCCTGCTTTCCAGAGCGAACCGTAAAGTCTGTCCCTTCCCAGACCTTCAGTTGGGTACCAGAGCTAGCCTTGCCCACCTCCTTAGCACACATACTCAGCACAGCAGCCCAGGTCCCTGTCTGTCGTGCTGGTGCAGGACAGTACATGCGCATGTCCAGTTTTCTGTATCTGCGGAAGGCTGGAGCAGGGAGATGTCTGTGCAGGACAGAGCGTGTAACTGAGAGGTGTTAGCCATTTGCTTGAGTTGGACTTCACAAGCTAGGGAGACTGACGTGCGTAGAAGCAGATAACGTGAGAGAGTTACGGGGAGAAGACAGGCAGAAGCGAGCATGCTGTCACTGAGGAGGGATAGGCTGGCTTAGAATGGAATGCGATGTCATGGGAAGGAAGATGAGCCAGGTAATGTGAGGTGGCCTTGTTACAGGGAGTATAGGTACTGGGGAACACCGTGTAGATTTGATATGAGGAAAATAGGCCGTGCCACTCTTAAGTTTTAGAATAGAGGAGTGATATATGAATGTGATATTTTAGAAAGATTTTTTGGGTAACTTTCTACTAAATAGATGAAAGGAAGAAAAAACAAAGGCCAACTAGGAGACCATTAGCGTTATTATGGTGTGAGGCGATGGCGTGGGAATGGAGAGGAAGGGATTATGAAGCATTTTGAAGGAAAATAGAAACTTAATAATTATTACCTCTGAAGGATTTAAGAAGGCAGGGCCAGAGATAATTCCAGGTTTTTAGAGCCAGATTGTAGTACCATGAACAGAAGTTCAAGACTCAGAAGCAAGTGCTGTATTTGAGGTGGAAGATTGCGAGCTTGCTTTAGGGCAGCCTGAGCCTGAAATTCCAGAAAGACATGCAAGTGGAAATTATCGTAGAAAGTGCACGTGTGCAACGCGAGTGAGGACGCAGGCTGGAGCTTGGGGCGAGGGGGGTGGAGAGCGTCATGGTCATAGTTGGGATGCCAGCTGAAAGTCACGAAAGCCTGAAGAGGGCACAGCAGAGGACCCGGACTGGCGCTCTGGGGAAAGTGGACAGAGGCGGGAGGGTACCATCTAAGACGGAGGCCGAGGAGCAGCAGGCGGCCAAGCAGGGTGCCCTCGTGTCAGTTCAGAAGGTCATCGCAGGGCTTGGAGAGGAATCGTGCGGGGCAGAAGTGAGATCACCATGGGTTCTGAGGAAGTGAGGAGAAGATGGTCTCATCTGAAAAGTATTGGCCTTGAAGGGGGGCCGTGGGAAGGTCAGAAGAATGACGGGGCAAGAGGTCAAGCAAACACTTGGAAAGATAATCGTAGCAACAGTGACGTCGAGATTGCATTTCATGTGTATGCTGTGCCAGGAACTAAACTATGCTCTTCATGATCTTGTTTAAACCTTAAAGACAATCCAGGGAGTAGAGGCTATTACAGACAAGGACCTTTGGAGGTGGCCGGTACTGGAGCCAGGTGGAGGTTTAGGAGTGCAAAGTGGGAGGGGAAAAATACCTAAAAGAGTGACTGAGGTCTGCGGCCGAGTGGAAAGATTGATTTCAGGAGGAGGTGGCTTCTAGGAGCCTGACAGGAAGGTAAAGGATGGCAGGCCGGATGGTGGAGGCAGGGCCATCTGCAAGTGGTGGCAGAGGAGACAGTAGCTTTGGGGCCTCAAAGACAGGAGAGAGGCTTGGGACCCTTCGGGCATTAAAATGTAAGTACACTCAAGGAGTAACTGGGTAGTGCCACCCCTAGTGCCCTCAGAGTTGGAATCTGGGCATCGTTTGTTACTGACGTGAGAACGTCGAGCTGAGCAGCACCGCAGCGTCCCGGGACTGAGTAGATGGTGACAGGGTGGGGAGGGCTAACCGCGAGCAGTGGAGCGGCTCGTTCAGGAAGGCGGCTTACGTCCACGACAGCTAGCCGTGGTGGTTGGTCTTGGTACCTTTTTTTAGAGATTGTTTTGTTGTTACTTATTTCTTCTGTGAAAGGGGGTGCATCCCCAGATGGGCCTTCACACAAAAGCCATTCTCAGCCTCGGCCCCCAGAACATTTTCATGCATTGAAAATCTTTACCAATGCATGCACCTCATGTGGACAAGAAGGCCTCGGTACAAGAACCTAGGCCCTGCCCGTGTGGTTCTGGCTTCCCAAAGTGTCATGGTAACTGCTGTGCTACTTGCTGACCCTGGTTGGTTTGGTGTTTTAAAGTGGATTAAAGGGTTGTTGCTCAGTTAGAGGAAAGGGAAATAACATTTACTGAGTTTCTGCTGTTCCGTGTCGGACATGGTGCCGTGGTTTTTTACATATTATTAAACTTTACTAATCACTTAGGAGGTGAATATTATTTCCTCCCATTTTTCAGGTAAGGGAACTGAGGTCACAGCTTAGAAATTGGCCGAGCTTGGGTTAAAACACAGACCTGTTTGACTTCAGGCCCCATGTTATGCTGAATAGCATATGGTATACGGGAACCAGCAGTTAGCGTAATGGCTATGTCACTGGACTTCCATGTAGTCGACCGCGGTTCGCGTCCTGGACCCAGTGGCTTAAAACTCATGCCGGGCGCGTGTGCATGCGTGCCCAAGATCCCGAGAGGAGAATGGAGGAGAAGGGATTGCGGCGTGGCCATCTCCCCTGGGGGGTGATTTCTCGCTTTCTGTCTCTGTGTCTCTCTCTGTCTGGCGAGCGCACGCACCCTATAGTGAAAACCTCTCAAAAAAAAAAAAGCATATGGTATATGGCCATACATAATTATCATACTTTATTTGTATAATAAATTTGTGAAAATCTTTATCAACGTTCGTGGGTTTCAGTGTATGGAAGTATACTGTAAAGAAAGCCAAATCCCTTGGCGTAGTGAATATACTCCTCCCTCGTGTGTCTTAAGTTTAGATTTATTTTTTTCTGAGAGATTTTTGCTATAGAATTCAGGCCCTCACTGGAGATACAGAGAGAGACAGAAAGCAATAAATCACCCTCCCCCCCCACACACAGAGGGAACAGCCACTCTGCAGACCCTTCTTCAGCCTCCTGTTGGGATTTTGGGCATGCAGGCACACATGCTCAGCATGAGTTTTAAGCCACCAGCTCTGGGACACAAAACACATTTGACTACATAGGAGTCCAATGATGTAAACATTATGCCATTGCTGGTCCCTTAAGTTTATATTTTAAAGGACTATTTTTATCCATTTACAACTATTTGTCATTATGAATAAACTTATGAATTTTGTGACTGATATTTCATATTTTCTATGGTTTAGATTCATTGGTTTTCAATTTTCAACTCCTTCATGATGGTGATCTTCTTGGTGGGCTTAGTTTCAATGATTTTAATGAGAACCCTAAGAAAAGATTATGCCCGGTACAGTAAAGAAGAAGAAATGGATGACATGGTGAGCGAGCATTTTACATTGTGTTTTTTTTAACTTACTGTTACTTTGATTATCGAAAAGTAGTTCACAATTTCTTGTCTGAAATTCTTGAGGTGAATTTTCAGAATAAAGAATTGTTAAGTTTTAGAAAGGTTCAAAACTCCCAGTGGGATCTAGGACCATGCCCTGTAATCAAATATTAATATATTCTTAAGCAAAACATATTAATGTTCACCCTAAGTAGGATAAACAAATAGTATAATCTCTTGTTCACTGAAGCCAGGTTTTGCCACCAGATAAGAATGTGTTAAACTTGAGAAACAACCTAACTTGGTTTTCAGGGCTTTTGATTTGAGAATTGCAGCTTGGAAGTTATAGACTTAAATTGGTATCTTTTTAATGTTAAATATTACATCAGATTCAGGAAGTTGGGTGGAAGAATTCATTTACATTTAGTCTAGTGGGCTCAGAGGAAAGTTTTGTTTTCCAAATTCTTTTACTAAATTATGGAACAAAAAGTGTAACATTCATAGGATGTTAACAGTTTTTCTTTTCTTTTTTTTTTTTTTACATTTCATTTTCTTTTATATATTCAATCACATTATGTAGCTTAAAAAGTGAATATTTCAACAGGTGAACATTTCTGCCTAGTCAAGTTGATAAAATATCTTCGACAATTCATTCTGTTAGGATTTGGGACCTCCCAAACTTTCAAGTTTTCAGGGCCAGGATTCACAGTCGGCCATAACGGCTTTTCTATGTAGGTATGCTCCATCATTAAATAAGTTTGGGCAACAGCTTAAACCTTTAAGCTTTAGGGGAGGCCCTATAGCCTAGTGGTTAAGGAAGTCAGATCCCATACGGCCAACTGTGAATACTGGCCCTGACACCTTGAAAGTTTGGGGAGGCCCCAAATCCTAACAGAATGAAGAAATGGAAGAAAAGGAATTGCAGTATGACCACACTCAGTTGGCAGGTCCTCTCTTCCCACCGCCCCCCCCCCCCCATTTGATGAGTGCACATGCCCTTTGGCAATTAAAAAAATTGAGCTTTAATATGTTACAGTATACATATATAAAATTTTCTTTAGAGAGAATTTTGCTGTAGGGCATGTGCACTTGTGGAGAGAAAGTGAGAAATCACCCCTCAGAGAGGATGGCTATGCTACAAGCCCTTCTCCATTTCCCTCTCGGGATCTTGGGCATGCACACACATGCGCTTGTTGTGAGTTTCAGTCCTCTGGGCCCAAGACTCCAAATGTGATCAGCCTGGTGGGACTCCAGCACTATGCCACCTGCTGGTCCTGCCACAGTGTATTTTGAAATAGCAGAGGATAGGTAAAATATTTAGTGCTTCTCAAATATATCTGACCAAGAGTCCCCCCAAAACAAATTATCCTGAGGGACCATTATTCCTTAAGAAACATCGTTTTAGAAACTGTAGGGACCTGGGGCCGGCAAGTGCCATGATGATTCAGGCTCTGGATTCCCACATGGCTGGCCACAGTTCGAGTCTTGGCCCTGCCGACTTGCTTTCTCAGTCCCTCTGTGTGTGTGTGTCTTTCTCTGGCCAAAGTGAAGAATAAGAATAATCAATCAATCTTTAAAACAAAAAAAGAAACAGTAAGAAACTGTTAAAGAACACTTACTTCTGCACAGCAAAGGACTTCTTAATTGGTGTGAATTGACAACCTTTGGAATGGGAGAGAATTTTTGTTAACTGTGCCTCAGATAAGGGACTGATAACCAGAATACAAAGGGAACTCAAGCGGCTTACCTGAAGAAAAAGATGAACCCAATTAAAAGATGGGAATATGAGTGAATAAACAACTCTCTAAGGAAGACATACGAACAGTCAAAAAGCCTATGAAGAAATGGTCAACATCCCTCATTATAAGGGTGGTGCTGATGAAAACCACAATGAGATACCATCTAACCCGGTCAGAATGGTGAAGGTTAAAAAAAAACAAAAACCGATAAGTGCTGGAGGGGATGTCGGGAAAGGGGAACACTCCTACAGCTGTTGGTGGGAATGTAAATTGGTCCAGCCACTGTGGAGAACAATATGGAAGGTCCTCAAAGACCTTCAAAGAGAACTACCATATGATCCAGCAGTTCCACTCCTGGGTATCTACCCAAAGGACAGAAGAACATTCAGTCAGAAAAGTGTTTACACAACTATATTTATTGTAGCATTATTCATAATTGCTAAGATGTGGAACCAACCCAAATGTCTTATACCCCAGGAAATACTATCCAGCCATAAAAAACAACAAGACCCTGGAATTTGATAAAAAGTGGATGAATATGGAAGATTTGTTGCAAGTCAGGCTATGAAAGAGAGACATTGTATGTCTCCACTTAACATATACCGACTGTCCGCACTCTATGGTAGAGATTAAAAGACTGGAGGACATAAAAGCATTAAAAATTGTTATGGACACTAGAGACAAAGTGGAAAGAATGTGGAAAGGGAAGAGTATAGGAAAGGAAATTTTGTGAAAAAGAGACATTTGTGGGACACAGATATGGTTTATTATCTGTTAATGAGGATGTGTATAGTATTCTCAACGGGGCTGGATTGAGGTGTATATCATGCTGGGTAAAGTCTCTTTACAATCTAAATGATGTATAGCAAATAAATGTATAAATAATAATAAGAAGAATTTTACAAAAAAGAATAGTGTCCGTGTCCATCTAAAATCTGTGACTGTGATCCTTAGGAGAAAGGGGAAATTGACATTTTATAGGCAATTAGCAGTTTCTTCCACAGATTACCTCCATCACAGATGAATCCATTTTTCAAAAATAAACCTAAAAAGATGGTTTCTAGTATAATACCAATAAATTTTGCCGCTAAAGGTGAAAAAGAAACCAAAATAAAATCATGTGAAGTAGTACTAGCCATGATTAAAAAAATTTTTTTTTAAATGAGTACTTGTCACACAAGTCAAGAGTCTTGAAGAAAGTAGTTAATAAATACCAAGTTTGGAAAAAAAAAAAAGAACACTTACTTATGTTAAAAATAAAGATTCTTGGGGAACCAGCAGTTGTAATGGCTATGTCGCTGGACTCCCACATAGTCGACCGCGGTTCGCGTCCCGGACCCGGTGGCTTAAAACTCACGCTGGGTGCATGTGCATGCGTCCCCAAGATCCCGAGAGGAGAATGGAGGAGAAGGGATTGAGGTGTGGCCATCCCCCCTGGGGGTGATTTCTCGCTTTCTGTCTCTGTGTCTCTCTCTGTCTTTCTGGCGAGCGCATGCGCCCTATAGCAAAAACCTCTCCAAAAAAATTTAAAAAAAAATAATAATAAAATAAATAAATAAATAAAAATTCTTGGGATCAGCAGATGGCGTAGAAGTTATGTCGCTGGACTACCACATGGCTGATCACGGTTCAAGTCTCGGACATGGAGGCTTGAAACTCACACTGGGTGTGTGTACATGTGTGCCCAAAATTCCGAGAGGAGAATGGGGGAGAAGGGATCGTGGCGTGGCCATCCCCCCAGGGAGTGATTTCTTGCTTTCTCTCTCTCTCTGGTGAGCGCACAAACCCTACAACAAAAATCTCTCTTAAAAAATAAAATAAAATAAAAATTCATAAAAATTCTTTTTAAATAAATGCTGTAGACAGTTAAATAAAACCCTTCATGTCCGGTATTTTCCCCTTAAGTGTTTCCCCTTACGTTCCCCTCACGTCGATTCTAGGCTGTAAAAGATGCTTCTGCATTTGGGGGGCACTTAGTACCCCTTTCATGCTCCTCTCCTGCGCTTTCCACTTGACACCTGATTGTGGATGAGCCAGAGTCATGTGTGAATGGTGAGAATTTGCCACTCATCCAGAGAGCATTCTGTGCTGTTCTCCCAGCTTAACTCTTTGTTTTTGCTTTTTCCATTCTTTGAGGCCCTCTGAACATAAGCTTAATGTTAAAAGCTATTAAGGCAGTAATTATTTAAGTTTGAAATGTCTTTTCTCAGTGTTTTGAATTCCTTTTAAATAGCTATAAGTTTGGAAGGAGGAAAATTGCAACCGTATTGCTTAACTTACCATATTTTAATTTGACTTGGAATGATTTTCTTTCCTCTGTATGTCCTCGTAGGATAGAGACCTAGGAGATGAATACGGATGGAAGCAGGTGCATGGGGACGTGTTTAGACCATCCAGCCACCCACTGATATTTTCCTCTCTCATTGGCTCTGGGTGTCAGATATTTGCTGTGTCTCTCATTGTTATCGTTGTTGCAATGATAGAAGATTTATATACAGAGTAAGTGCTTGCTCTTTACTACTTTCTGTACTTGAGTAATTTTAATCATTGGAACCTTTTAAGTCCGACATACCGAATACTTGCTTATTTCAGTTATCTTAGAATTTAAATATCATAAATGTCATTATTAGTATGCCCATACATTTTTCTGTTCTATGCTAAAGTTTACTAGCACTAATCAACATTTTGTCTTGTTTAAAGATTATATTTCAGGAGAAGTTTGAGCATAGATTACTTTCAATCTAGAGCATTTTTTTTTAAAGTTGGAGATCCAATTAGAGTAGGATTTCGGGCTGGCAGGAGGCATGATAGTTAAGGTGCTGGACTCCTGTGTGGCTGACCGGGGTTTGAGTCCCGAACCTGGTGACTTACTTTCTAATTTCTCTCTCCTTCCTTCTCTCTCTGTCTCTGTCTGGCCAAATTAAAAATAGTAAGTAAAAACATAATTCTTTTTTAAGGAAAAAAATAGAATATGATTACACAGTTACTAAATTAGTACTTCACCTTTATTTCCCAAACTGGAAGACTGTAGACTAGAAGAAAAGCATTATAAGTAATAGTAAAAAGAGTGACAGAAAAGCTATGTGCAGTTTAAAATATAATTGGATGACTTCTTTAAAAAAAATGTGTGAGGCCGATATATCTTTACCTGGTTTTTGGTACATGTTTTTTTCTTTGAAGACTAAATCATTTGCAAAAAATGATTGATTTGCTATCTTTGAATCATAAGAAAGTAGTATATTCACAAAAGACCGAAGTTCTATCAAGTGGTCCCATAACCTTGTGCACGTGAGAGCCCTGGTCTATGAAGCAGATGCCCTGGAACCTGTGGAGGCCGTTACAGCTCGGGCATTTCAGGTGGCGCCCCACGAAGCGCTGTGTCAGAAGCACTGCTGTTCCTCAGTTCCCATATACGCCTGGCATTTGGGGACAAGCAGTACGTTCTGTGGAAAGAGTGGCTCTTTGTACATTAAATGTTGAACTGTACTCTACGTAGCCGTCTCCTCTGCGACACAGTCAGTTCCTGAGAGCAAGGCCGGGCCTTGTGTGAATGCGCAGGGCAGGTTCGGAGCTTCCTACACAGCAGGTAGTCAGCAGTGCTCCTTCAACAGCACTGGCTGCTAGCCCACCGAGCTGTTACGGTACGGTTTCTGTTTCTTTTATATGACTTTACCAGTTTATTTCACCACGTAAGCTTCAGAATAATAGATCAAAACCTAAACTGCAAGGACAGCAAATGGCATAATGGTTACATTGCTGGACTCCTACATAATCAACTGTGGTTCAAGTCCCAGATCCGACAGCTTAAAACTCATGCAGGGTGCATGTGTGCCCAAGATCCCGAGAGAAGAATGAAGGAGAAAGGATTGTGTTGTAGCCATCCCCCTGGGGGGTGATTTCTCGCTTTCTGTCCGTCTGTCTGTCTCTCTGGTGAGTGCACACACCCTATAGCAAATATCGCTCTTAAAAAAAAAAAAAAAACCAGGTTAGGACCAGCAGTTGGCATAATGGCTACATCACTGGACTCCCATGTAGTCGACTGCAGTTTGAGTCCCAGACCTGGCAGCTTAAAACTCATACTGG